ACGGCATGCACGACTATGAGTACCCCCCCCCCCCGGGGAGGGACTTCCCCCCGGGGTAGCGTTGGAAAAAAAAACTAATCCCCCGCGGCACGTCCATTGCCCCCCGGGGGGTTGATTTCAGAAAAAACGAGCCCCTCCCCGGGGGAACAACTCCGCAGTTTACGATAACTCTCCCTTGTAGCTCAGGCCATGCAGTGTGAAAAGGTAACTGGTAAGCACGCACACATGCCGTTGCGGGCTCTTTGACTGGTTGTTCCCCGTTTTTTTCCTCTCTGAACTTGAATAGCCTATCTACAGTAATATTGCTGACTGCGTTGTCTCGCCGCACCGTAAACGGTGTGGTACATTCGTGCGTGCTATCTGTTAACGCTTGCTTGATCCCATCAGGAATCCGGAGTCGTGTTGCGGGGCATGACTCTGGTTGCGGCTTGTGGTGTCGATTGCGGAGAACTGACGTTCGACCAAGTTTTGGAGATGCTCCAGAACACGCCGCCGGAGGCGCCAATCGATTTCGTTTTCTCGATCGAGGAGGCGGAGCTCGAGGCATTATGAAGGGGGAGAGGGAGGTTGTTTCGAGTACACTTGGAATCAATCGCGCCCTGCGCAAAATGGTGGGCGTTTTTGCCGATAGGGGATAGCGGGGTGGCGGGGGGATCTGTGGTGACTGCAAAACCAAGACCGCATGAATGCAAGGCTAAGTTATTTAGTTACTTCCTCCAACATGTTTTCATTTCGGAATGATTTGGGGATGAATGACGCGACACCCGATAGACACCAGCCGCCTTTTGTTGCTTTGTTCTTTTAAGGAAATGGGATTTTCAAGGACGAGTTTGGAACAATACTGTGGCGTACCACGTGTAAGCGCCCCAGAACGGTACACATCACAACCTCCGAATGGATGCTTTCGGAAAACAACGTTCATCCAGGCGATAACGTTCTACAACAACACTTCGTAGTATAATGGAGTGCTCACTCATGCATGGTCGGTCTCGAACGATGCCGCCGCGGGGGCTGGCATGTACTTCATGGAATACACAACGCGCCCGCACTCAAGAACATGGCAGTTGATTGAGAGATTGGGATGGCCTCTTGTAAAGAAACTCAAAACCTTGGAACTTGAGCACCTTTGTGAGTTCGACAACGACCTATACCAAAACCTACACAGCGGCCACTCGTAGCATAACCCGTGGGAACTACTAAAGTAAGAATCACAGACTTGGCCAAAACAAGAGGTTCTCACGCGCCTTCTGTAGCTCAAGGGCGGCAATACAACGGGTGTAAACTGTCGACGCTTCGCCGCTTTTGGGCAGACCGTCTCCATCGCAGCACCTGATGTTGTCGAATGAAGCTACGTGTAACTCTGCCCTTCTTTAATCTGGTAAAGCCAAACAACCACATCTAACGTCTGAACACAAAAATCAGTATATTACCAAGAAGAGAAGCAAAGGGTGAACACAATCTTACACGAAGGAACACGAAACAGCCAACAAAAACACGAGGACTAACGGCAGTCGAGGAGTCGTGAAGCTTTCCCGACGTGGGAAAACATTGCTAATAGCGAAAAAAGAGACCACAAATGAGGACAAAAACGTCAACCCGCTCACTTCCTTTGCACACGCTCCAACTACGGGTGGTCCAACAACTTTCCACAAGCCCCAAATGGAAACACACATGCACACACACACACAGCATGGAGCGTCAACTGCCGCTGCTGCTTCTGGCCCTTGCCAGCTCATCGGGTTACTTGCGCTGATACGATAGTGATGAAATACTTCACACCAGACGTAAGCAAGGATCATTCTGCCTACGCTATTTGCATCGTCTTGTCCGTCACTAAACGTGCCGTTATCAACTAGACCGAGTCTACCTATGCTACATGAAAAAATAGGCATCGACGACCCCCCCCCCACCCCGCGCCCCTATCGCCTGAGATGCTAGGCCTTCGGTGCACGCTACAGCAAACCGACAAGCGCGAAGTATGACAACTGGTAACGAGCCTGCCGCGGAGCAGAAGCGACAAGCAAGCTCTACATGTGCTGAGTGGTACCAGACAGTCAAGCGCAGAACAAATCGTAACAAAAACGCCGACTCTTTTTACCGCTCCAGCAGGCGAGTCAGCAGCCAAAAAAACATTGTTCATATTTTCCTCGAATCGACCCAGTCTGCAGTACGATGAATTCATCCCCGTACCCCTGCCCATAAATAACCCCAGGGATAAAGAACAACATTGAACATCTTCGTTCAGCCAGCAAGAGACCTCCAAAAGCTAACCACCGCGCCATCTTGACAGGGGACGCCACAAAACCTACGACTCTTTCTTTTTCCGCCGGTTGGATCGATCCAACGACGGGTTCAAAGCTCCAGAAATCCCAGGACAAAGTATGGGACAATCTTTTCTTTTACGCGTATCCGATGGACCTAACGGAGGGACCAGACCGTGATCCCGTCGGGACAGTGCCATTCCTATTCGACGAGTACGAGGGCGCCCGGTTTTCGGGATGGGGGTGTTGTGCGCCCTGCACCTCCGGATGGGCGTGCAATCCGGGCTCGGTGGAGGCCCCCGCCTGGGACGGGGGGGGGGGGGGGGGGGGGGGGGGGGGGGG